TTCCTTCCAGTCAGAAGAACAACCATTCACCCCATTCTCTGATTTCTGTCTCCCAGCCAGTTCTGTATCCTTGCTGCCACTGTCCCTTTAATACCGTGGGTTTCTATTTTGCTTACAAGTCTCTTATGTGGCACTTTATCAAATACCTTTTGAAAATCCATATAAACTACATCAATTGCACTACCTTCATCCACCCTCTGCATTACTTCATAAAAAAACTCTGTCAGGTTTGTTAGGCGTGATGGCTGTCCTTTATTAACCCACATTTTTCTAAGTGAAAATGCATTTTGTCCCAGATTATAGTCTCTATAATAGTCCGTTATTGTCCACTACTGATGTTAGGCTGACTGGCCTATAGTTCCGGGTTTATCCTTCTGCCTCTTTTTGTACAGGGGAATAAGATTTGCAACCCTCCAGTCCTTGGGCACCGCCCCAGTGTCCAAGGAGGATTGAAAGAATGTGGCCAAAGCCTCCATTATTTCCACCTTATCTTCCCTCAGTAACTTAGGATGCATCCTGTCCAGACCAGGTGAATTATCTACCTTGAGCACCGACAACCTTTTAGTACCTCATCTTGGTTTATTCTTATCATATCCAATTTCTCTACCCTCTCCTCCGATACTGTGGCATTGGCTGCATCCTCTTCTTTTGTGAAGACAGATGCAAAGTACTCATTCAGTATGTCAGCCATACCCTCTGCCTCCACAAGAAGATTTCTTCTTTGGTCTCTAATTGGACTCATCCTACCTTTGACTAACTTTTTATTCTTTAAATATTTACAAATACCTTAGGGTTCCTTTTATGTTACCCACTAACCTTTTCTCATACTATCTCTTTGCCCCGTTTATTTCCTTTTTCAGTTCTCCTCTGTACTTTCTATATTCTATTTGATTATATTCTGTATTTTGGACCTAACATTTATCATAAACTTCCTTATTCTGTTTTATTTTAATCCCAATTTCCTTATTTATCCAGGGAGGTTTGGATGCCCTACCTTTCCCCTTTGTGGGAATGTATTTGTTCTATCCCCAAACTATCTCCTCCTTGAAGGCTTCCTATTGCTCATTAGCTGTTTTATCCGCCAATCTTTCTTTCATGGAATTCTGAAACCTTGGAATTTATTTTTCTAATATTCTTTAGACCATAGTAAACATATGACCAGAAGTGAAAAATGAGGATATGAAGTGGTAGAAAGCACAGAATATAAAAAAAACACTTGATCCATTAAGGCTGGTCTTTCCACATGCAAAATCTATCCAATTTCACCCACTAGCTGGTGAATTTGTAACTAAATAGTATAAACATAAGATTATTACCAAAAACAAAAGGAGAGTTTAGGTAATTTTTTTCACACAGAATTATTAGGACATGAAATGGTTTATAAAAAGCAATGCTGAAGCAAAATCGTATTAGCTTTTAAAAGGAAATTGGACAAATATTTGAAAAAGTAAAATATAAAAAGGTATAGAGAAAAAACAGGGACTAACTGGGTGACTCTTTCAGAGAGATGGTACAGGAAGTATAGGCCAAATGATCTCTTTTTGTACTGTACAATTCTATGACTTGGAGTATTTCTGTTTTACTTTAATAGATGCATATTTACTCCACAAGCCTCCGAAATTGTGCAAATAGAGGTGAAGAGTGTAACAAGGATGATATTGCCCCAGGTAGATGATGTATCTCATGCCAGGACAGAATCTCAGGACTATAGAGTTGGGCAGGCTGGGAACATTGGCTTATAATGTCATTTCAGCATAGGTACTGTTGTAAAACTGGAAAAATACACTTTGTATTTGAAATACATGAACTCTCCAAGAAAATCCATGAACTGTTAGGGTAACAAAAAGATAAACTCTGATATCTGGGTGAAATGCAAGCTAAAACCCTAAATATCCAATCTTCATGGAACTGCGTAAAGTTTTGCAAGTATATAGAAATATGAAGAGGTCACTTAACCCAAATAGGTGGAAGCTTTCAATTACAGTGTATTGGATGGTGACAGTAATCTCAAAACATGGATAAATGCACTACTTTAGAAATAATTCTATCTGTGGGGAGCAAGGGTTTCACAAACAACAACAAATTGCATTTATATAGCACCTTTCACTTTCGGAGGACATCCATTTTTATATTTTTAGCTATTCATTTCAAGGCAGGAGTATACCTTTGATACTGTTAATATTTGAAACCGTTTTGTTACTGTTAGTTTTCAGCAAAGCCATCAACAAATCAGCTTCTAATTTGTAATTCTTAAATACAGTTTTAATTTTGAAACCAAGTATCTTTTAAGAGCTACAGAAAACAGCTTTAGAGTTTAGACTGAATTTTAAAAAAAGTCAAATTCTGGATGCTTCAGAATGGTACATAAATAGAGTCAATCTATAAAATGCTTTGACAATGGGGAGGTCTAGTTATTCCAATTCTCCTGGATATATACAACCAGCAACAAAAGTCATTGTTATAAATCCAAGCTTTCTGGCAAAGTTCAAACTATTTTCACTCTGACCCTATCTGCATTTCTATATTATCCAAGGACAAAGGAATATATAGGCTAATAAAAAGGTCCATTTGCTTGCATTGTAACGTACAGCAACTAAAGATTTGGTTTGTTTCAATAGCTTGAATGAGTCATTTTCTTGCAGCAAGAATGTTGTACGTATGAGAAATCAAATTTTGAATACAATTCATATGTGGGAAAGCTACGGGGATATTAATGCAAGACGCAGGCTTAATTTTTCTGAAATATTACCATTTTAATCCAATTGTAAACGATATAACCTCTTTAAAATAAGAAATCTATCTTCTACTGATTATGGACTGATTGCTTGCATTGGTTGTAATAGTTTGATGCAAGAAACCAGCAAAATATTTCACATGTCAGTGCAGAACAATTTTTTGAGATCAATGCTTGGAGCATTGATCCGAGCGATAGCAGTCCTGGAGTATTTTAGAGACTAAAGGGAACTGGTGGGATACAGCTGTCATTTACAATTATAACATGACTCTGCTTACTTCTCTTTCCTGTGTGTTAATTTTCTGCAACATTGCACCCACGATAGTTTTGTCAGGCCGACCCCGAGTAACGTATTAAAATGACTTCATGCACAGATTATTGGGAGTTCGGGGAAGCATATGGTTCATCCAAAGGATACTCAGTTAGCAAGTTTACCAACCAAACACACAGCCCAGACTGGTACGTGGCTGGTGAAATATCTACCCTGGATCCTCGAAGTCAATCATACTAACACATTTTCTACTCACAGTTGAATTCACACATGTGCAGTCCCGATATAAGCAAATTCTTGGCATTTTCTGGTATGTACAAATTAATATCAAACTCATGTTTGCCTCCTTTACATAGGAAGCAATTATTTAGCTGTTACTTGGTTGTAATGAATTGTCTGCACCCAACAGGATTTCACTGTAGTTCAGCCCATTTATCCTTTATATTTTATCCTCGTGTCTGTTTGCATCGATTCAATAAATGTTACGGGATCGACACAAGTGAGTGAATCAGGAGTGGCAAACGGAATAGATGAATGGAAACGTATGTTGAGGATGGAGATAATGGAAACAATTCAAATAATTATGCAATGTCCTATTGTACCAAGTGTCCGTGGCATCGGGGTCTGCAAAGCAAATTAGTGGGTGGGGGGGAAGTCTATGGGTAAAAACGTCTGTTATTTGCTTAACTTCAGATAAATCCGTAAATGTGGGCGACTGGGACTCGCCTGTGGAACATTTTATTTTCGGGATGTATGAGCACAGCGCTGTAGTAAAGGAGAGAGAGTGCTGCAGCCGAAACGCAAAGTCTGGCTGTAGGCGAAATGTGCGTCGGATCAAACACATTCAGGTGTTGGAGCGATAGGGGCATTGCAACGGGGAAAGGACACTCCGGGCCATCGCATCCCCCGCACACAGCGCACTAACCAATCCCAACACAACAACAACAACAACAACAGAGAGAGAGAGAGAGAGAGAGAGAGAAAAAAAATCACAGATCCGTCTTCGCGATCCCCGTACGGTCTCACAGTTCAAAAGTGTGCGCGGCGGCTCTCGCAGCGGCTCTCACAGAGGCAACGTCGCGACCGACCGATTTTTTTTTTTTTTGGGAGGGGGGGAGGGGGAGGGAGGAGGGATCACACGCCACCGACGCGAAAGCAACGACTGTGGTCCCTTCTTGAAAAAAACGTTGTTCTTCGGTAAAATTGACGCTGAGCATTGACTCCCCTCTCTCACGCCCCAAACCCCCCGCGGGTCCCCGGTGCGGATTTGCACGCGTGCGGTATTTCCCGCACATGGCCCTCCCGTGGATCATGTGCACTATTGTTCTCGGCGTCACTGCGCGTCGCTGCTGAATAAAGGCCGTCTGTCCCGGATCGCAGCTTAAATATTGCAGCAAAAAAACTAAAAACTAACACCGCGACTACCCTTTCCGCTCTGCACCGGCCGTGCGACTGGGAAAAGGCTTCGGGTATCAATCCGTGTGCAAACCGGACTTGGCTTCAAGCGTTGGGGGCCAAAGGGAACCGGGAGAAGGCAATAAACAGCGTTGCTTTTCCTCGGCGAGTTGCCCAATTGATCAACGTGAAAACTGTGCTCTTTTTTTTTTTTTGGTGGGTATTGAGAGTTGGGGCACAGCTTTAATTTGACGAAGCTCTTTTCGATCGTTTTGGTGAAGGGATTGTGCAGGATTTGCTCAGTGGTTTGGCTTAGATAAAGGAAGTGTTGGATGCGTGGAATGCACTTATCTATTAAGACGACATCAATGTTATAGTTATTCGTTATAATGGGCAAAGCACTAAACTTCTAAACGACTGATTGTAACCTATTTGAATCCAGAACAGTTCAGTTGATATTCGTATCGTATTAATAGCTTGTGTACAGATATGGAAACAAACTGTTCAGTGCAGAAAACTTAAATCAAAGTACTCATCAGTTTAACACCTTGTTCACCTTAAACCTATTGTTTTCTTTTAAACAGATAAATCCATAAAAAAATGGGTGATTGGAGCTTCCTGGGAAACATTTTGGAAGAAGTCAATGAACATTCTACTGTAATAGGCAGAGTGTGGCTGACAGTGTTGTTTATTTTTCGAATTCTAATTCTTGGCACTGCTGCGGAGTTTGTGTGGGGAGATGAACAGTCAGATTTTGTTTGCAACACTCAACAGCCTGGTTGCGAGAATGTCTGCTACGACGAGGCGTTTCCCATCTCCCACATACGACTGTGGGTGCTTCAAATCATATTCGTCTCCACACCATCCCTAGTCTACGTGGGCCATGCTGTTCACCACGTAAGGATGGAGGAAAAGAGGAAAGAGAGAGAGGAAGAAATGAATAAACAACAGGAGATGAATGAGGAGAGGTTGCCACTGACTCCCGATCAAGGCACCAAAGAGTCCAGCAGCAAGGGCAACAAGAAATTTCGCCTGGAAGGCACTTTGCTGAGAACCTACATCTGCCACATCATCTTCAAAACCATCTTTGAAGTTGGTTTTGTAGTTGGCCAGTATTTCCTCTACGGCTTCCGCATCTTCCCTTTGTACAAGTGCGGAAGATGGCCCTGCCCCAATATTGTTGATTGTTTTGTTTCCAGACCAACTGAAAAGACAGTGTTTGTCATTTTCATGCTCGCCGTGGCTTCAGTGTCTCTCTTTCTGAATTTCGTAGAAATAAGCCACCTTGGTTGGAAGAAAATCAGATTTGCCTTTAGGAAGCCAGTGCAGCAACAGGTAGACTTTCCGTCTGAAAAACCATTCCGTTCCATCTCGGTGCCCTCTGTGCAGAAAGCCAAGGGCTATAAGCTTCTGGAAGAGGAGAAACCTGTCACCCATTTCTACCCCATGACAGAAGTTGGATTAGAAGCAAGTGCGTTACCAGGACCGTTCGTCAGCTATCAAGAAAAGGCTGAGAGTGTTGTTGGTGCCGTGGACAATTTGGTTAAAGTTTACGATGAAACATTGCCAACTTATGGGCACGATGAGGAACCAGATGGGCCGATTGCACCAGCACCACAACCCAAACTAACACCTCCGCCAGTACCCGAACCGCTGCCAGTACCTGAACCGCTGCCAGAACCAGAACCCCTGCCAGAACCTGAACCTCTACCGGAACCGGCAGCTATTCCAGAACCCGAGCCTGTCCCAGAGCCCGTGCCCACACCACAACCACAAGCAGAACCACAACCAGCTCCAGAAGAAGCTGAGAAGACGGAGCCACTGGTAGAAACTATTGAGACCATAGCTGACACAAGACCCCTGAGCAGGTTAAGCAAAGCCAGTAGTAGGGCTCGGTCTGATGATTTAACTGTATAAGAGTAAACTACCAGAGCAAACGCTTAAGGAAAGCTAACGTAAAACTCTCCAACTCCAGAAATCTATGAATACAAAACTAAAGGGGAAATACTGACACCAGGTATAGGGTACTTAGCACAGATCTGGGTAACAGGTAGCATTGGCTATTTGTCATGTGTAGTCGATTGACTAAAACATCACAATTCTATATTCAGCCTTTCTATAAATTTGTTGGCTCCCTATCTTAACATTCACGTTATATAGTTGTGCTTAAATGTCAGGAGAACTTGAAACATGTTGAGAAAATGTTCGATTCGCTTCCAATCATATTTTTATCTTTTAAAATCTGCAGGCTTGTGAAGTGACTGTAACTTAATACTTTAAATAATTGTCTGAGTTCCAATAGACATGAGTAACCTTTAAACAATAATGGGAAAAAATGAAAAAAGTACTGATTTGAAAGAGCCCAATCTAGATTTAGACATTCTGACTACTGGTATGTAAGAGGAGTGAGTGGTTGTGTGCCATGCAGCTGCTCAAAGCATTGCTGTCGATACCAATCTGTAGAAGTTTAAACTTGTAAAACTAACTTGCTTTTAAGAGATTGTTGTACAAAAATGTACCATTTATGAAAATGGTCATTGGCAATAGCTTTCTTCTATATATCATCTTGAATCAAATAATGTCAGGAAAAACTGTTTTATTAGTAGTTCGGTAGTGTTTAAATGTAATTAATAGATTTCGACTACCACAACTCTAAAACTATAATACATCAAAACATGTATAGATATAAACATTTATATCATTTAAACTGCAATGCATATATATGGATGTATAACATATATAATTTAAACTTCATTATATATCATTTTAAACATTAAAGTCTGATTATTACTAAGTATTAGGTTATCGTCACATGTATTAGCTTTGCAGAAGCATCAGGATGCTTAGAAGTCAAATGACCATTTGCACCCAGCGACCAGTAAATACTGGGAATACTGTAGTCAACCTCTATCAACCTGCACCTCAGCTTCCAATCCGAAACCCTGTATGGATCATAGTGAAATTGATGCAAGGAATAGAAGGATGTGCAGACAATATTAATGCACATAGACATATGCCGCCAGAACAATAACATATATCCAAAGAAGATTGATCCAATAATGAAAACTATTAAAAAGGCGGCTAAGCAATAAAGAATTGTAAGGAAATGATTGAGGAAAGAAAACATGGATTAAATGGAACAAACTGCAACCCGCTGAGCAGCAGAGAAGGCAAAGAAGAAGCAAGAATACGCTCGATACAGTTATGCGGAATGATGGTGCGTTTAAAAAATCTGGAAACCATCTGAACCAAAAGAGTTTTGAGAAAACATAGTTTTGTTATCTAAGCTTGAAGTTTGCTAACTTGAAAAGTTAGTAACGTGACTCGAAGTTGATCATTTCAAACATCTAAATCCAGTGATACACATGCATTATTTTATGTTTAGTTTGATCTGTAACCTTGAAGAATAACACTGTACGTGTATGATATGTGATAAAGACATTAAACAATATGAACGCCAATGTTTGACAAATAGAACATAATCAAAGGAATTTAATGATTACTAGCACCTAGACTTCTACAAAACATTTTAAAAAATAGAGTTTCCCAGAAAATGCTAGATTTACTTCCACTCACAAAATCACAGAATAAAAAAAACACAATGGAATTATGAGGTTACTAAGTTAATCACATTAATATTTTAATGCCTTTTTTGTTTACTAACTACTAGTCTTGTTTTAAAAATTGATTTAATACTAGTTGTGTGGAAGTTTAACTCATTAAGAGAAGTGTTATTGTAAAAGTAATTTTACATGAGACCATATAATTTACATTTTAACTCGTCAGGAAATATTGTACACGTTATTAAGCTGAAAAGGCACATTTATTATATGTTTTAACTAAAAACACATGTTATAAACAGTTTTAAACATTAGTATCTATTTACAAAGGATGTCAGTAATGCCAACATCTTCAGAAGTTACAGCTCTTAATTCCGCTTTTTAATCAAGGCATAGAATTTGACTCCATGAATCTTTTCCAAAATAAAATGTACTTAATTTTGCAATAATTGTATGGTCCTTTATTTACATATCTTCATCTCTTGTATTTCTTCACTACTAAATAGCCATACACAGGCATCTCAATTTAGGGTGGTTGTGTTCAGATTTCCCTCAGGGTTTCAGGGGTGAGAAATAGTGCATTGTAATTACTAATAATTCAAATACAAGTACAAGATTAGCAGCATTGTTGGCCAACATTGTGATGATGTCAGCAGGTAGCAGCCTTATCTGCTTATCTGTTCATACTGTGATGGCTAAACTTTATGATACTTTGACATTGCTCACAATGGACCAGTGCTTCCTACAGTGATACGACAGGACATCAACTCTGCTTCATGAAGACATTGTTTTATATTATATGGGCACCTGAAAATAATCCTTTCTGTATGTTATGGGAACTCAGAGTTGAAATCCAATCATGGCTATGAGTAGTGTTGATGATGGGAGGAAAATCTCAGAATAATAAAAATATCTTCTCTGAAGTCTGTAAAGTTAAATGATTTCTGGCAGTTTCAATCTATTTTCCACTGAGCATGAACCACACCACAGAACTATCAGGACTGTACAGGATAAAGTTATCATTGCAGCCGAGGGAAAGTTATCATTGCTGTTCACCCATGTTACACATGGTTGGTGCCTAACTAAGCAGTACAGACGATGCTAATATACTTCAAAGGGGTAATACATTCATATGCTCTGTTATATTCAAACTCTGTCAAATCAAAAGATGGCATTAAATGTAAAAGCTTTTCTAACCGCCTGACACAAGATCCACAGAGATGTCTAGTGCAAAATTTTATTATTTTTATGTAATGCTTCACTATAAACCAGTGGTAACCTAAGTCCAATCTCAGAATGTTCTTTTATTATTTAGGTTATTGTGATTTTATGCAATGTTTAAATATTTAAAGAATTTGAAGTTTGGTTTGATTTTAAAATCTTATTCACATTTTATAAATCCAGTTGTACAAGGCTTTGGAAGGAGTAACAATAGGATATATATGTATTAAAAAATCAGCAGTTGCTGAAGACTTTAAATTAATCAGGGAAGAGTACATCACAAACAGTAAAATAATGAGATATCCCCCATATTAAATTGGTCTTTTGCTTCACGGCTGTTCGTGGGACATTACATAAATTGGCAGTCAAATTTTGCCTAGAAAATATAGTCCCTACACTTTACAATAATTCTTTTGAAACATTTTGAGACATCCTCCCAGCGTGAAAGGCGCTTTATCGAATGAAAAGATTATTATGGTTGTTGTGAAAGAATTCCACAGCATTTTGAAAGTGTCTTCCATGTCTTACATATTTGTACATTATCTCAGACCTCAGAAATCCCATAGTATTTGGTTTGTCCTTCAGAGTGATTTTAAAAGATACCAATAGACACACCATGCAAATTCAGTATAAAGCAAAACTCTCATCAAACAGGACAGAGATATTTTGAGTGCTAGCTCTGGCCAAATTCTAATTTTATGAAATTCTGTTGTAATTGTTAGGTAATTTGAAATACTGGATATTTGTGGCTTATCGTCAGAGTATGGTAAATTGTTGAGAATAAAGCATTCTAATCCATTTTACAAGTTAATTTGGAAAAAAATATTCTTACTTCAATTATTATGCATCTTGATAATATTGGAGGATAGAGCTGAATAAGCCTGGACTTGGATTATATAAAGAGTACATTCCGCTAAACATATTTTTGACATATGTCTAGCTAGGAATTGCTCTAAAGTATAAGACTTGATACAGATAATATTATAAGTGGACAGAACATGAACCCTTTCTGCTTGATAGAAGGGGAAAATAGAAAAAGCAAGCACAGCATGTGAACACCCTCTCCGATTCCAGCCACTGAACTACCTCTCTGCATTTGGGGGTTAGCTAAATTATCCAAAAGCTGCTGCAACATTAGGACAACAGGGAAAATGTTGGGGCAAAAAAAACAAACTTATTTGAAAACAGGTTCGTAAATTAGAAGTCTTAACGAGTAACAGATTTATGCTCAGACCACAGAAACAAAATTTTCTTACTGGTGGAACTTCATTCAGCCCCGGTGATAGGTATCTATTTTTAGTCTGGGCTAAAACCAGCCAACCAAGATAAATGCAAACATTATCCAATTGTATTGATGATTCAAGCTTAGACCTCATATACGAAAACCCTTTCCCATTCATTGTCATTGTATAGAATTCATGATCGGGCATAAATTGTTCCACTATTGTTCATGTACTTGTGAAGTCCAAATAGTTTTGTGTAAAAGAACCTGTTTTTCCGTATTTTCAGTGTTTGTTCAGTTTTCCCAATTAATTATTCAATTGACTATGGCAAAATGATTACAGTGGAATTTGTAGTTTTTAAAGAATGTTTACAGATAAATAAGACTAGCCTAAACAGCTTAAACCTACTTCATTGGCCTTATAGTCCTATTTTTGTCTTCTTCTCACGATCACAAACTGAGATTGCAACAGGTTTGGTCAATTTCCCCAAATAAATTCAGCTTTAATGCAGAGTTTGTTTGTTGACTACAAATGGAAAGAACGTTTGCAAACAATCTTTTGATTTTCTATGTTTTCAGTAGAGGTATGACAAATATTTTGCTGAAACATTTTGGAAAGAGCATTCCAATGAAACGGAGCACTAGAGATTTTTTGTGACAATGCAAAACTTAATTTAATTTTTTTTAGCACAAATCCATTTTTATGATTGCTCTAATAATCAAATCTCTGATGGCATAACAATGATCATGGGAAAGTGGCTTCCTGATTTACAAAGTGTTAGTCCTAAGGCTGTAAAAATAGATGGTTTATTGCCAGACAGTTAACAACAACAACAAAATGACATTTGTATAGCGCCTTTCACGTCGGGTGGATGTCCCAAGGCGCTGGACAATCAGTGTTTCGGATCCGAGCTGGGGTTTGGGATCCGGTAGGGTGGAGGGCAAGGGTGGAAGGAGATTGTCCGAAGGCGTGGTTGAAGGGGAGAGTCTTGAAATGGATCTTGAAGGAATTGAAACACGAAAATAATCACAGTGCAGTCTGATCTTGTCCTCACCCAATATTCACACAAACACACTGACAGTCACCCTTCATGGATGCACTCGACACCTCACACGGAACCTCGGCGTCCTGTTCGATCCCCAACTGTCCTTCCTTCCCCACATCCGTGCCATGACCCGCCCTGCCTTTCCCCACCTCTACAATATTGCGCAGCTCCGCTACTATCTCTCACCCCAGGCAG